ATGCGCGGACCGGGCCACTCGGTCGCGGCTTTCGGGGGAGGAGGAGGAGGAGATTTTTTTTTTTAACCCTCGGCGGGGAGGGGGTAGGCAGGAAACGGCCGAGGCGAAGCCAGGGCCCCCTCCCTGGCCGCGCGAGGGACCGCGGAGACCCTGGCGGCCGGACGGCGGCGTGGGGGAGGGGCGCGTGGGGGAGGGGCGGCCGAGCGGGCGCCCCTGGGGCTTCGGCCCCGGTGGGGTTGGACCGAGGCGAAGTGGGGTTTGCCTGCGAGGAGCGGACCGCGGCCCTCACTCCCCCCCCCCCCCCGTCAGGAGTTGGGAAGGCCGGGGGGAGCGGGTGACCATCGGACCCCCCCGCACCTGCGGGGACTTCGGTGCCCGCCAACTCTGGAGCGTGCGGTGGCACGTGGGGGAGGGGTCGGGTGAATGTTTGCGGGCGGCTGACGACTAGGGGCAGGTGGTGGCCACACTCCACGCGGACCACTTCCTGGAATGAGACTGGTTCCTGCCCCCTCTCTCTGGCTCGTACTACGGAGAGCAGTCATTGAAAATTGGGGACAGAGAGGAGAGTGTCTGGAAGACCAGATGCCCCCAACCCCACCCCCTTTCTCTCTCCTCTGCTCTGGGCTCTTTTGTGTCAAGTGCGCCCCCCCCCACACCATGACCCCGTCAGTCTGGGGTGGCCGAGCTGCCCAGCTGTGACTCTCACGTGGCTGCCATTCACTGTCACTCACTCTCCCGCTGAAACCACCCACACCCTGACCACGTTGGGGGGCGTGAACTGCCCACCCAGCTGTCCTGCAGCTTGACCGTCACTCAGCACCCCTCCCCGGGGATGACAAGTCACCCGCACTGTCTGGGCAGTTCCGTCCGCGGTGGAGGGGCCTGACCGCTGCCTCGCGCGGGGGGCCCAGCAGTGGTCCCACTCCGGCCACTCTGCAGAGTGTTCAGCTAGTGTTTTTCAGAATAGACTCTAAGTGAGCATCTTTCGGGTGTCTTGGTGCGGTGCAGCACAAATGCACCAAACTTCAAAACGTCTAACAACATACTCTTTGTAAAACTGTCGTATTGATCTGTGTGGCTTCAGTGGCAAATGTTCCTGTCTAGTTGAGACAGCTTTTGAGGGACTGTGGGGTGCTTTCTTGGGCCGGGGGAGGGGGGGTATGTGTATCTAATGGAAACAAGATAAAATCCACCTCCCCTCCCATCAGGCTGGTCCGAAAACCGGAAAAGTTTTTTAAAAGTTATCCCAGAGAGCCCACTGATTTTGCAGAAGGGAAAAGGAATAAAGAATTGTGGGTAGGGGATTGCCTGGAAGACAGCAGAGGTGCTAAAAAGAGAGGAAGAAAGGATGTCAGGTTAAGTTAGGGCATTAGCAGCTCTCGCCTATGTGTATTCCGAACTTGGAATGCGGTATTTGGGGGTTTTTGATCCCGGATTTGGGTCTGTGAAGGGGAGGGCATGAAAGAATCTGAGGTCGAGATGGGTCTTTGTGTCAGTACTCCCTCCCCTTTTCCCTTTGCTTTCTAAGCATCGTCAAATGTTTTTAAAATGGTATATTTGAAATGAAAACCCACCTACTCTCTCTCCCTGGGCAATTTTATCTCCCTTTCAGCCCTCCAAGTCAAACGAGTGACCCAGATACACCCTCTCAGATGACTTTCTGAGGTAAAACTTTAGGAAAATATTTTTAGTCTGCCCATTATTTCTGTCTACCTAAGTGTGGGCAAAATAACCCTCCTCTGAGGCAATATGTTCAGGCTGCCCTCCCTCATCCTCCTCTACAAGATGAGTTTATACGTGTTAGAGGTTTCTATTGTTTTTCATTCTGACGGCTTTGATTCTCACCATTTTGTTTTACATTCTTACCCAAGACCAATTTTATCCCTTCCCCCCTCTCCAGTCTCCGTACATTGTTAAACGTTTAAAATAATAGCACTCGTGCTGATGGGGGAAGGGAGCAGGAAGCCAAAAACTCATTTCTTCTCCCTCCCCCTTCTGGCAAGCCTAGAGAAATAATATAACATAATATATAGATGTGATTCCTTGGGGGTGGGGGTGGGGAATGGTTGTGGGTGGTGCGGAAAATTCTGGTAGTTTCTTTGCAAAAGGTCTGAAAATACAAACCCACCCCCTGCATGCAATACGCATGTGCAGCAGACCTATTATGGTGGTTCGTTGTGGGGGAGGGAGGGGAATTTGAGAAAAAATAAATATATGTGTGAGAGATTGATGGTGAGATTAGAAGAAGAGAGGGGCGGGCGGGAGGCGAGGCTCGCTGCGAGGCTCCTCCTGCGTCCTCTGGCTCGCCAGGCTCCACCCACCCTCCTCGCCGCCCTCCTCCCTCGCCGTCTTCCCGAGATCTGAGCCGGGATGTGGGAGAGTCTGGGCTCCAGGCCAGCATTGAGTGGCTGGTGAGACAGAGGTTGGGACTTAGATTTGCTTTCTTGCCCTCCCTTTCCTTTCCTCGCTGTCTACTTTGCCTCTCCGCACCACGGCCGTCTTCCCAAGTTCGGGAACCTCCCGCTGGGGTGGGGAGTGGAGTTAACTGGCTGCGAGGTCCCAGGGCTTGTGTCCCACCCCCCAGCTGGTGGAGACCGAGGCCATTTCCCTGATCCTTAGCCAGTTGGCCTGCCCTTGCCTCTGCCCCGGCGGCCTCCGTTTCCATGTTCATATTAGCCGCGGTCCCTGGGGTGAGGGAGCGCGGGCTGCTGGGGCATGGCGTCTTACTGACTTCCTATCAGGGTCCCCACTGTTTCCACACCTGGGGCTGCCACAATCCCCCAGTCCTAGAGTGTCTTCCTGCACAAGAGGGCACAGGATGCTGGAGCTGTGAGAAGCAGCAATGAAGGAAGGAGGTGCCCAGATTCTGAGGCAGTGGAAACCAAGGCCTCCAGTGTTAATTGTGGCTAATTTTCCCTTGGCTGTTGTGGGAAGAAGGATTGTGTGTCCTAGAGCAAGGGGCTGGGCCAGGCCCAGACTTTCCCCTCCTGCACAGCTGCCTCTGCCTGAGCAAGACAGGTCTGGCGGGTTAATCTAGTGCTTGCTGGGGGAGGGAGGCCAAACAGGGCCTCATGTCTGTGTGGCATTGGTGTCTTCCTCCTCGCGGAGTTACTTTCTGTCCCCTAAGCCTCCACAGTCCGACAGGGGTCATGGAGAATGGGGAGAGGGGACATCTGGGAAGAACCAGCCCCGTTCTCTCTGACAGAGACATCTGGAGAGAAAGCCAGGGACCTGGCCCTGCTGAAAGCAGGTACAGGCTGTCCTCTGGGTTTGTGCTCATGAGCATGTGATGCTTGTGCATTTGAGAATGCATATGCGGGTTGTGTCTGTGCCCGTGTCTTTGTGTGGGTCTCCCATACTGCTTATATATGAATGGGTTAGGATGTCTGGGACTAAATTTGGAGACAAGGGGTGAGACCAGGGGACAAAGGGGCAGGGTCCCTGAGTTCTCAAAGGGAACAGGGAGGAGTATATAGATTTGAAGGCACATTTCCAGTCTCCTTGGGAGGAGGAGGAATGTTTAGGTAATTGTGGAGACCTTCTTGGATGGGGTTAGGGTGTGACAAAGGAGCTAGACACTGTGATCCTGTGGGCAAGAAGTGAACATGCCTGACTGAGGATTTCTTTTCCTCCAGGGCTGTGCTGGGGTGACAGGAGGCTTGGTGATTATCTGAGGAAATATAAATAGAGGCCTCCCTCCTCACAAAAAGGATGTCAGGGCCCCAGGGTGTTAGTGTGAGAACCCAGGTGTCCACCTTTGGCTCTGCCGTCTCAGCATCTGGCTTAGGGAGCTGCCAGCTTGTGTCTCCCCACTCCAAGTGCTGGGGTCAGGCCAGGCCAGCAGCTGGGCATGGCTTCCCCAGTTCCTGGGCAGGATGCCAGCTGGCTAAGTGAGGGGGAAGGCAGGAGGAGCCCTGGCGGCGACTAAAAGGACCTGCCACAGTCAGAGCCCATGGCCTAGAGCCTGGTCCCTTGTTAGTAGGAGGGGAGAGATGGGAGTGGTTTGGCCGCTCTTCCCTTCTGACCCCTGACCTCCCATTCAGAACCCGAGCATCCCAGAGTACTCGAAACACTCTCTGTTTGCATCCAGCGGAGGGAGGCAAGGTTTGGAAGAGTTAATGCTGGAGTTCCTAGAGAGCAGCGGGAACTGAGGAGGTGAGGAAGGGAAGGGGCTGCAGAGACTGGGAACCTAGAGGCTTAGGTTTTCTGGTGCTCTCTGCCCCAAAGATAAGGATGACATTCGGCTGCTGCCTTCAGCACTGGGTGTGAAGAAGAGAAAAAGAGGACCCAAGAAGCAGAAGGAGAACAAGCCAGGAAAAGCCCGAAAACGCAAGAAGCTTGTAAGTGTTCAGGACTCCTATCTCTACAGCTAGGCTTGGAGACCCAGCCCTAGAGACCTACATTTTCTCTGGTCTTGATTACTGTGGGGATCCTGAAGTCAGGGAGGCCTGATCCCCTCTACCTGACCCCACCCCTGCTTGCTAGCCTGTATCTCCCAGGTCTGGGACCCTAACCTCACTCACCATGGCCTAGTGAAGAGCCCAGTTGTCGACTTGACTTGCCCTGCAGCACAGAGAAGCGGTTGAAAGCACAGGCTCTGGAGGTAGACTGCATGAATTTAGAGCCTAGCAGTCTTCTGTCTTCTTGGACAATTTATGTAGGTCTCTGTGCCTCAGTTTCCTCCTCTACAGAAAAGTGGATAAAGACAGATGTTACTATCATAGGATTGTTGTGAAGATCAAAAGAGACGATAAGTGTCATGTGCTGAGAACAGTTTCTGGCACAAGGAAGGGCTGAAGAAATAGTGTTTTTATTTCTTTCCCTTAGGACAGCGAGGAGGAATTTGGCTCTGAGCGAGATGAGTACCGGGAGAAGTCAGAGAGTGGAGGCAGTGAATATGGAACTGGACCAGGTCGGAAACGGAGACGGAAGCACAGAGAAAAAAAGGAGAAGAAGACGAAGCGGCGGAAAAAAGGGGAGGGAGATGGGGGGCAAAAGGTGAGTAGAATTAGGGAGTGAGGGGAGAAATCAGTATTAATGACAGGCATGAGGAGTGGAGGAGGGAGAGCCCTGGGCGAGCAGGGTGCTAAGTGGAGAGGCTGTGGTTTGTGAGGAGTGGGATTGGGCTGGGAATGGAGCAGGAAGCAGAAAGCCCAGGGAACCTGGTGGGTGGGTAGAGAGGCGTGTGGGGGGCCCAGGACTGGACCCCTGCGTCACTGAAGCCTGGTCTCGCCCAGCAGGTGGAACAGAAGTCGTCGGCAACTCTGCTTCTGACTTGGGGCCTGGAGGACGTGGAACATGTGTTCTCTGAGGAGGATTACCACACACTCACCAACTACAAAGCCTTTAGCCAGTTCATGAGGTGCGGTAGGGCTGAGGAGCCCTCTCGAGCAGACGCTTTTAATTTGGGGGAGGCCCTGGACCCTTCTGGAATCTGATGAAAGCTAAGAAACTGCTCTCCAGAGAAATTCACAGCACATACACATAAAATTCCCCATGTCATCTTAGGGAATTCCTGCACTCCTAGGATCCAAGGACTCCAGTCAGGAACCCTTCACTGGGGGGTCACAGTACCACTGCTAGGTTAGAAACCTCTGTGGTGACAGACTATCAGGAGGACAGATGGCCCTCCTTGGTCTAACAGTTCCAGTTTCCCCTGCCTGACTTCTCTCTAGACTGGAGCGGGGAGGTGGTATCCGTGTTCCCCAGTTTCCTTTGCTCAGTTATCAAGTCCTCTGTCCCTTCGTTAGACACCAGTAATAACGGAGGATGCATTGCTGACAGTGGGACCTGAGCTTCAGTGGCTCCCGCAGTAGAGTACAGAACAGTAGAGATGCCTTTTGGGCAGCAGGCACTTGAGCAGAGCCGTTCAACGCTCTGGAGGCAGCCTGCTGAGGTTCAGGTCCCGGTGTCATGTTGGGCAGCTCACTTCTGTGATCTTCAGTTTCCGCATCTGTGAAATAGGCACATAGTACGTACCTCATGGGGTCTTGTGGGGATTTGATGGGATGATGGATGGAAAGCTCAGCACACTCAGTGCCTGGCCCCTAGTGGTGTTCAGTCCCTGGTAGCTGTCCTTAGTCCCGTTGTCTCACTGCTTCACTACTAAAGACAGTGCTTCTGTCAGCACCGGGGTCACCCACGTCCTCACAAGAGCTTAACACCTCACCGCAGAGCAGAACCAGTGTGGCCCATCAGACTCCACCTGATGGGACCCTTCATCAGGGCCCCTGGAACTCTTTAGAAAAGCACAGAGAATCATAGCAACTCCTAGTAGTATTGCGAGGAAGAAATAAGGTATTATGTGTGTGGAAGCGTTTTAGGAACTGTAAAGTAGTTGTCCAAAGTAGAGCTTTTTTATTAATCTCATATTTTTTTATCCTTTTTAATCTGCATTTAAATTTTATTTTGCCTTTTTTTTCTTCTTCATACTTTTTTCTTGTTTTTTTAAACTTTTTTTTCCCTTCTTAAACTTTTTATTTTTTTATTTCAAAATTGATGTTATTCTTCGTAGGATGTATTTTCACCACCTAGGAATCCTAGCTGGCACATAGACTTAACTGGTGAGGGGGAAATGACAGTATTCCCAGACCATCGGTGAAGGGTCCGAGTGCGTGGCTTCTATATTTTCAGGCCCCTGATTGCTAAGAAGAATCCTAAGATCCCAATGTCTAAGATGATGACCATCCTTGGGGCCAAGTGGAGAGAGTTCAGCGCCAACAACCCCTTCAAGGGGTCGGCAGCTGCTGTGGCGGCAGCGGCGGCAGCGGCGGCCGCAGCTGTAGCTGAGCAGGTGTCAGCCGCAGTCTCATCGGCCACCCCCATAGCACCTTCCGGACCCCCCGCCCTTCCACCCCCCCCTGCTGCTGATACCCAGCCCCCGCCCATCCGAAGAGCCAAAACCAAAGAGGGCAAAGGTAAGAAACCCTCTAGTTGGAACAACTGTCACCTCACCCTCTAAACTGCATGTTCTCAAATTATAGTCCAGAGCTCTTGTCTTCTCGGCCCTGATTGTTGTAGAAGAAATGCTGTCCAGGAAGGGGCCTCAGTGAGACCATAGCCCACAGAGAGGTCCAGAAACCCTACGGCCTCCATTGTTCCTGGCTTTCATGACCTCGGCTTTTGCTCTGTCACCCCACTCCTCACTCAGGTCCAGGCCACAAGAGGCGGAGTAAGAGTCCCCGAGTGCCTGATGGACGCAAGAAGCTTCGGGGAAAGAAGATGGCACCACTCAAAATCAAACTAGGGCTGCTGGGTGGCAAGAGGAAGAAGGGAGGCTCGGTGGGTGGCCCCTCCCTGTCCATTATACTTCTGGGGTGTGGTCAGGGGCTGGGGGTCCAGACACAAGGGTCCATGAGGGCAGCTGGAGCGGGAGCCCAAGGCCTGGGGAGGGGAGTGGAATCCATTTGGCCTCTCTGACAGCCACGGGGGCTATGGGCAGTATGTTTTCCAGAGTGACGAGGGCCCTGAACCAGAGGCTGAGGAGTCAGACCTGGACAGTGGCAGTGTCCACAGTGCCTCAGGCCGCCCTGATGGCCCTGTCCGCACCAAGAAACTAAAGAGAGGCCGGCCAGGAAGGAAGAAGAAGAAGGGTAAGCGGTGTCAGCTGTGTGCAGTCCTGTCACTCAGCCTTCATTTCATTCCTTCGTTGTCTTTCTTATTTGTAGTGTTGACCTCTTTACTGAACGCTTTTCTCTTTCTCTCCCCTCCCGCATTCCGCCCTCCTTCTCTCTCTCTGTTTCCTTTGCCTCCACTGGGGTGTATGACAGTCCTGGGCTGTCCTGCAGTGGCCGGGGAGGAGGAGGTTGATGGCTACGAGACGGATCACCAGGATTACTGTGAGGTGTGCCAGCAGGGTGGGGAAATTATTCTGTGTGACACCTGCCCTCGTGCCTACCACCTCGTCTGCCTCGATCCTGAGCTTGACCGGGCTCCTGAGGGCAAATGGAGCTGCCCCCACTGTGTGAGTACTGGTGCCACCTCTTACGGCCCTCAGGGACCCACCCACCTCTTTCCTCCTTGCTTTCTCTTGTCCTCTCCCTACCTCCAGATGCCTGGGCTTCTCAGTAACAGATGTTGAAGTGTCCAAGATCCTAGTTTGATCCTCTCCCCCATTCCTTTGCCCCCAAAATTAGCATTTTGGGGACCTGAGATGTCCTGTTCCGTTGTTCCCAGCAATCTTCTCTGCACTTCTAGGATCTAGCTATCCTGGTTTGCCTCTGTCTTCCAGCCTCACTCCTTATCCTCTTTCTTGTGTCTGTGTCTGTCCTTGGCCTCCCAGGAGAAGGAGGGGGTACAGTGGGAGGCCAAGGAGGAGGAGGAAGACTATGAAGAGGAGGGGGAAGAGGAGGGGGAGAAGGAGGAAGAGGACGACCACATGGAGTACTGCCGTGTGTGCAAGGATGGCGGGGAGCTCCTGTGCTGTGACGCCTGCATCTCCTCCTACCACATTCACTGCCTGAACCCCCCACTGCCTGACATCCCCAATGGCGAGTGGCTGTGTCCCCGATGCACAGTGAGTGTGCCCATCTCTCAGGCTTTATTGTCAGCCCCGACTCCTTCTCCATCTCTGGGGCCCAAAGGTTGGGCTCGCTCTTTCTCTACTCTCCCCCACACCTAGCCTTTGATTCCCGTGTGGGACCCCCATCCTCCTACTCTAATGATGGGCTCTTTCTGCCTCTTTCTTTCCTCTTTGTGTGCGTCCATCCCGAAGTGTCCCGTGCTGAAAGGCCGTGTGCAGAAGATCCTACACTGGCGGTGGGGGGAGCCCCCTGTGGCAGTGCCAGCCCCCCAACAGGCAGACGGGAATCCAGATGCCCCACCCGCACGTCCTCTTCAAGGCAGATCGGAGAGAGAGTTCTTTGTCAAGTGGGTAGGACTGTCCTACTGGCACTGCTCCTGGGCCAAGGAGCTTCAGGTACAAGGGCCTCTCCTTCCCCGCCTCCTGGGGCCCCATTCACTGCCATTCTCTCTCTTGGCCCGCTGTTCTCTCGTCTTCCGTCCCCTCTGCTTTCCCTCACATTAGGCCTCTGGCCGCCCACACCCTACCAACTCCCTTAGTTTCCACACTTGGTTCTCTTGGACTCCAGTTCTCTTTCCCTCGGTCTCCGTTAAGTTCCTTCCCTTAGGTATAACATAGGCTTTCCTTAGCCTGCCTCAACTCCATCTCTTTCCTCATCCGTCTTAACCATGTTTTACTGATAGCCCCAATCTTAACAACCCTATTCCCTTCCTCCTTTTGCTTATTAATACCTCCCCACCCAGGTCCTGTCTCTGACTCTGTTCTCTGGCGTGTTATTCGTTCTCCTGCTTTGGATTTAACTCACTATGTCCCTCATCCCACCTCTTTCATTGCTTGCTTTCCCATGCCATTCCCCCTGCCGGCCTCTGCCCTGTCTCCTTTTGTCCTCTTGGGATGTTGGGACTATCTATTCCCTCCTCCTCTGTGCCCCATCAGCTGGAAATTTTCCACTTGGTAATGTACCGAAACTATCAACGGAAGAATGACATGGACGAGCCCCCACCCCTCGACTACGGCTCTGGTGAGGATGATGGGAAGAGTGACAAACGCAAGGTGAAGGACCCGCACTATGCCGAGATGGAGGAGAAGTACTATCGTTTCGGCATCAAGCCAGAGTGGATGACCGTCCACCGGATCATCAACCACAGGTGAGTCCTTGGTCCGTGCGAAGGCCTACCTGGGTTTTGCCACTATTCTTGTTGCGCTGTGGCTCCATGTTAGTATTTGTTGATTAACCAGATAATTGATCTAACTGGATAATTCCCACTGCAGCCCCAGCTCTTCTGGCTTTGTTTCCTCTATGGAGATGGGAGGAACCAGGAGGAAAGCCCAGCCCAGCACTGACTGCTTTGTCCTTGCTGCTTTTAATTTCTAACAGCTTAAGAAATGACACATGAGTCTGGGGATCTGGTTGTGAAAAAAGCAAAAACGTGAAACACATGGTTCATATAGACCAGTGTTTCTAGTACTTCTTTCTTCACAGTACTTATTACTAACTAATGTTACATTGTCTTTTATTTTTTTATTTCATCACTGCCTCCCCCAATAGAATGGGAGCTCCATGGGAATAGGTCATTTGTCTGCTTAGTTCTGCTCAATCACCCGTGCCTGGGACAGTGCCTGGCATGTAGTAGATGCTTAGTAAATACTGATTGGATGAACGAACGATGTTGAAGCCAGGGATGTTTTGTGATCGTTGATTTTTAGGAAGCCATCCTGAAAAAGTTAGGGTAGAACTTCAGCCATTCCAAACTGCCTTTCAGAGGCCCACCATTGAGGCTTAGGTGACAACGTCTGCATGTTTGCTGATAATTGTGTTGATTATGACTTTTTCTACTTGTGACACATACTACTTTTCTCCTCCTGCTCCTTCTCCTGGCTTCCCTCCCCACAGTGTGGATAAGAAGGGAAATTACCACTATCTAGTGAAATGGAGGGACTTGCCATATGACCAGTCCACGTGGGAGGAAGATGAAATGAACATCCCTGAATATGAAGACCATAAACAAAGCTACTGGAGACACCGGTGAGGGAGCCAGGTCATGGGTTAGAGGGAGTCTGAGGACAGAGGCATGAAAGCTAAACCTCCAGCATTAAATGAGATGCAGTAGGGACAGACCCAATCTAGAATTTAGGGCAGTGGGAGCCTGGGCTGGGTTGTTTGCGGTGGGGTCGGGAAAGAGGTGGTGTGAGGAACAGAAAGGAGATCTAGCCTGAGTAATGGGGATGAGGATGCTGAGGAGTGGGGAGGGTTGGCTTTAGAGCTGAACTCCATAGGGGTGAGGGTAAAGAACCTGGGAGAAAGGAAATGTGAGAAAATCTTGGTTATGGAAAGTGGGAGCTAGGTCTGGAGTGGGTTCAGAAGGACAGGGGGTGGGTCCAAGGACCAGGTCTCACTCAGACCCACTGATTTCCCAGAGAACTAATTATGGGGGAGGACCCCGCCCAGCCCCGCAAGTATAAGAAGAAGAAGAAGGAGCTGCAGGGTGATGGGCCTCCCAGCTCTCCTACTAATGATGTAAGTCCTCCCACTTGGCCTGTCTCCCGTTTCTGGAGCCATGGTGATTGAAGATTTCCTGGGGGCTTCTGACAGAACTTCCCAGAGTTTCAACAACTTCTTTGAACAGTAGCTCTTCCTTCAGTGTTCAGCTTTGCCCCAAGAGTGCTAGGAATTTTGGCACAGGAGTGAGAGCTGCTAGAGACAGCAGCACACAGGGCTCTTCTACCAGTTTCCTTCCCCACAGTGCTTCTGGGTATTGTTTTAAGGAATGAGGGGGAGGCACTGCAGACTCAAACTTTCATAAGCTCAGGCCACAGGAGAGGGACTTGTAATCCCATTTGACATCAGTGCCGGGGAGAGGGGAGGAGGAGGCCAAGACCGGAGGAGCAGCTGATGGCTCCCCTGAGCTCTCTGACTTCTTGATTCTACAGCCTACAGTGAAATACGAGACTCAGCCACGGTTCATCACAGCCACTGGAGGCACGCTGCACATGTATCAGCTGGAGGGGTTGAACTGGCTACGCTTCTCCTGGGCCCAGGGCACTGACACCATTCTGGCTGATGAGATGGGACTGGGCAAGACCATACAAACCATCGTCTTCCTCTACTCACTGTATAAGGAGGTGCTAGACTCTCGGGCCCTGAGGGGGACAGCCGTGCTGAGGCCTAGCCTGGACTGGGGAAGGTGGGAGTGGAGGGTGAGGGCAGAGAACTGGCGGGGAGGGGTGCGGCAGGCAGTGGACTGGGTTGTATAACCGTGAGCCTAGACTAATGGTCCCCCACCCTCGACTCCCAGGGCCACACAAAGGGTCCCTTCCTGGTGAGCGCCCCGCTCTCCACCATCATTAACTGGGAGCGGGAGTTCCAGATGTGGGCACCCAAGTTCTATGTGGTGACATACACGGGTGACAAGGACAGCCGAGCCATCATTCGTGAGAATGAGTTTTCCTTTGAAGACAATGCCATCAAAGGTGGCAAGAAAGCTTTTAAGATGAAGGTAAGCCCCTCTATCTCATGTCCTCTAAAGTGCTCAGATCTGTCGTTTCGTTGCCTCAACCAGGACTTCAGTTCCTTTATTCCCCATTCAGCTTTCTCCCTCCTTTACTGCACCTTCCCTCACGCCTCTGCACTCCAGTCCTGGAGATGTAGTGGGTACTCCCAGGGGTGTACATGGATCTGTTCATCCTGGACGGGTGGTGGAAGATTGGGGGCCACATTCAGAAGTCCCTGCATGGAGTCAAAGTTGGAGGACAGGACAACGGGCTCCCTTTGGGAGTCTCAGTTAGGCCTGGGTGTCTGCGTGGAGAATGGGGGTGGAGGCCTAGATGCTTGGGTGTGGGGTGGCAGCCAAGTGGACAATGGTTGTGTTGGCAGAGGGAGGCGCAGGTCAAGTTCCATGTTCTCCTGACATCATATGAGCTGATCACCATTGATCAGGCAGCTCTTGGCTCCATTCGCTGGGCCTGTCTCGTGGTGGATGAGGCCCATCGGCTCAAGAACAACCAGTCCAAGGTGAGTGAGATACCCAGGCCTCAGAAACTTGAGGCTGTGGACTCCTACTTGCCCTAGTCCTAAAAAATAAAGTTTCAGGCACTTTCTGCAATCAGGGAGGCAGGAAGCCTGGGAATAAGTCTGGGGAGAAGTCCAGGTTGGAAGAGGGAGAGGACTAGGGATGTGAGGGCCTCTGATCCTGAAGGAAATAGCAGCTAGAGGCAGGGAAAGGTGATACTGTGGGCCAGCCACTGGCCACTGATGGGCCCTTTCCTCTGCCTTTCCTTGCCCCATTTTCTAGTTTTTCAGGGTCCTCAATGGCTACAAGATAGATCATAAGTTGCTGCTGACAGGGACTCCACTGCAGAATAACCTGGAGGAGCTCTTCCATCTGCTGAACTTCCTCACCCCAGAGAGGTTTAAGTAAGTGGCTCAGTAGGGTGGTCTGCAGAGAGGAGAGGTGGAGGGACTGAGAAGATGAGTGGGAGGAGGATTCATCTGGAGTAAAGTATAGAGCCTGAGGTCAGGGGCAAAGAACCTGACGCCTGTTCATTTCCTTTTCTCCTTCTGGCTACTAGCAATCTGGAAGGCTTCCTGGAGGAGTTTGCCGACATATCCAAAGAAGACCAGATTAAGAAACTTCATGACTTGCTGGGGCCACATATGCTGAGGAGGCTCAAGGCTGATGTCTTTAAGAATATGCCGGCCAAGACAGAGCTCATCGTCCGCGTGGAGCTGAGCCCCATGCAGAAGTGAGATGCAAGGCGGGTTACCTGGCCCAGGGTTGAGGATTTGGTGGCAGCTTTCCAAGAGTTGGTGACCAAATGCAACATCATAATTGCTTCCTTTATTGTGTCTCTTCTATGCCCCTGCCCTGGGCTTTAGGAAATACTACAAGTATATCCTGACCCGAAATTTTGAGGCCTTGAACTCACGAGGAGGTGGGAACCAAGTGTCATTGCTTAACATCATGATGGATCTTAAGAAGTGCTGCAACCATCCATATCTCTTTCCTGTGGCTGCTATGGTAGATACGGGAGCTGGGGGACTGTGAAATGCCTGGCTCTTTGGAAACATGGGCAGTTGAGCACAGGGCTGGAGTTGGGCTGGGAGGCCAGAGACTAGATTTCTGAGACGAGTAGGAATTGTAAAGGTGTGGAGCCTGGATTTGGGCCTCCAGCTTTCTAGGCATAGTCAGAATACGGGGGCGTGTTCACTGACCCTCTCCTCCTTTCTTCCTGCCTTCTTTTCAGGAGTCCCCCAAACTTCCCAGTGGGGCGTATGAGGGTGGGGCACTTATTAAGGCATCCGGGAAGCTCATGCTGTTACAGAAGATGCTGCGGAAGCTGAAGGAGCAAGGACACAGAGTGCTCATCTTCTCGCAGGTGACCCATCCCTGTAGCTCTTTCTCACCGTCAGATAATCGCTGACCTCATTCCTGTGGTTGCCACGGGATGCGAGGTTAGGCAATTACACCCCTAAGGGTTTCTGGTATAGCTAAGTTCATCTTGGTCTCTGATCCCTGTTCTTAATTATGGCTGTTGGAAGTTGTAGTCCAGTTTCTGTACGCCAAAAGGGGCGAAGGGGAAGGGTGAGCCATCTGCCTCCTACAGGTCGTCTCTGGGACTGGTACTGTTTCTTAACCTTATTGGGGAAGGGAGGAGAGCACAGACCTTTTGGAAATCTGATGAAAGCTGTGGGTCTGTTCTCCAGAAAACTGCACACACAGCTAGACAATTTTGTACAGATTTTCAGGGGATTCATAGACTTGCCTGAAACTTTGTCATGGGTGTCAGAGGAGAACCTCTGCCTTAGGAGAAATGGTCTTAAATCAGGAGAGAGAGAATGACAAGAATGTCCCAGGAGGAGCTGGGGGTGGAGGAAGCAGCTCCGGGGGGTGTATGACAGGGCAGGGGTACAAGTGTAAGGACTGGGGTTGAGAGAGAATAAAGAGGTAGTCAGACCAGACAGGGCGCATCCCACTGCCTCATCGTTCTAGACTCCTGCCTTTTCTCTTGCTCTAGATGACCAAAATGTTAGACTTGCTAGAGGACTTCTTAGACTACGAAGGCTACAAGTATGAGCGCATTGACGGCGGCATCACTGGTGCCCTGAGGCAGGAGGCCATCGATCGCTTCAATGGTGAGGGGGGGCCTTGGTCCCTGCTGGGTGTGGGAGGCCCGAGAAACCTGTGCCTAGGTCCCTGGGTTGGGAGGGTGCTGGCCTGGGAGGATATTAGCCACCTGGGCTTTTGAGTTGAGGGCATCGCTGTTTGTAGTCAGGGAACAACTAGGAGCAGGTGGACAGACCTGCTGGGTACAAGAAAGGCCTGATTTCCTAATTCTTGCCTCCTAGCTCCTGGGGCCCAACAATTCTGCTTCCTCCTGTCCACCCGGGCTGGAGGGCTGGGCATCAATCTGGCCACTGCCGACACTGTCATCATCTTTGATTCAGACTGGAACCCCCATAATGATATCCAGGTGAGAGCATGCCTCCTGGAGCCCCTCTGAGCAAGGAGATGTGTCTGTCTGTTCTGGGGTCAGAAATAAACCTCTTGGTGGGTAGAAGACCCTTCTTTGTCAGCCTCTTTTCCAGAGCATGTAGGGGGTGTCTCCCCTGCCACTCCCCTGGCCCATCCCCACTTTCCGGCCCCTGCAGGCCTTCAGCCGTGCTCATCGGATCGGCCAGGCCAACAAAGTGATGATTTACCGGTTTGTGACTCGCGCATCAGTGGAAGAGCGAATCACACAGGTGGCCAAGAGAAAGATGATGCTGACGCATCTGGTGGTGCGGCCTGGGCTGGGCTCCAAGGCGGGCTCCATGTCCAAGCAGGAGCTGGATGACATCCTCAAATTTGGCACCGAGGAGCTATTTAAGGATGAAAATGAGGGTGAGAGCCTTTTCTGCAGCTCCCTGTAAGCAGGTCTTTGCTGTCTATGAGCACTTCTCTTCTGAAACCCCCTGAAGAAAATCTCTTCTCTGCATCCTTGGAGGAAGGTTGGCTTCTTTCCTTACCTGTAAGGTTGAAAACAACAGCAAATAAATCTCTGTGTAGACGTCCAGGGAAAGGGCCTTCTCCTCCAGAGCTCCCGTGAAAAGGAAGCAGAGGGGAAGGCTTTCCTCTGATGTCTCTAAAGTTCTGCCTGAGGTTCTGGTTAGAGCTCAGAGTCCCCTCTCATTCCCCAACTCCACCAGGGGAGAACAAGGAGGAGGACAGCAGTGTGATTCACTATGACAACGAGGCCATCGCTCGGCTCCTGGACCGGAACCAGGATGCAACTGAGGACACTGACGTGCAGAACATGAATGAGTATCTCAGCTCCTTCAAGGTGGCCCAGTACGTGGTGAGGGAAGAAGACAAGGTGAGAGGCTTGGGGCCAGACACTGTGCATCCCGGGCCACCTCTGAGGGGTGGTGTCCGACGTCCTTGACCAGACCTTGAAGTTGGAGGATCCCCCTTCGCTCTTGGTTTTTGTCTGATCTCTTACCCCAGTGCCCATCAGAGAGCGGTAGTGGACCTCAAACGACTTCTTGGTCTAAAGGATGAGACTGGACTTTGGAGAAAACTTAGGCAGAGAAAGCGGTGATAAACTCGGGAGGGAACCTTCTGAGTCAGAGTGGGAGGGACACAGAGGGCACTAGAGGAGAGGTTTGGAAAAAAGGGAAATCACGAGGAGGAGAAGCATATTGCAGGTAAGAGGTAAGGAAAACTCACACAGAGGACTTACACACAGTGACGAGGTCTAGGGCTGGGTGGAGGCAGGCGAGTAGGGATTTTGTCATGGTGGAAGGATTGGAAGGGGAGGCCTTCAGCGTTCGTCCTGCTGCCCTTCAGATTGAGGAAATTGAACGAGAGATCATCAAGCAGGAGGAGAACGTGGATCCTGACTACTGGGAGAAGCTGCTGAGACACCACTACGAGCAGCAGCAGGAAGACCTGGCCCGCAACCTCGGCAAAGGCAAGAGGGTCCGCAAGCAGGTTAACTACAACGATGCTGCTCAGGAGGACCAAGGTGAGGACCGCCCCTGACAGAGGGACCGAGAAGGGGAGAGTGCGGAGTTAGGAGTCAGGGCCTTCCCTGCCAAGTGGAAAGAGATTAGGAAGGGACACTGGGAGCTACCCGGAGGCCGGGTGGATTTGCAGGTGATCTCAGCTATCTAGCAGTTGCAGAGGACTCAGATGGACACCCAGGGGTCCCTGTTGAGAGTGGGTTATGCAGGAGTCAGGAGGTAGGTGGGTGAGTGGACATGGTGTGTGGTGCTGAGTCAGACGGCAGGCAGTCATCCGGCATCCCTAGGAGGGCCGAGGCCAGAGCAAAGGTGCAGAAGTCTCCGAGGGGAGGCGTCCAGACAGAAGGGCCCCAGCCTGGGCTTATGCAGGGAGCCATCACTGACCACTGAGCCCTTCCCCTCGCAGACAACCAGTCAGAATACTCAGTGGGATCAGAGGAGGAGGATGAAGACTTTGATGAGCGTCCTGAAGGTGGCATCGGTTTTCTTGTTTTTCTACCGCACCTCTTCCCATTTCACTTCCCATTGTCTATTAAGCCCACTGTTTTTATACAAAATGCTCATTTGTAGAAAAAGTAAAGATTGCAGGTAAGCAAAACGGAAGAAATATCTGTAATCTTGCCACTGTTAAAATTGGGAGTATATAACCACGCAGGCTTAGATACCTAGATGAAAGATCGAGAAAGGTAACATCCTTTTACATTCCTACCAGTAATCTTGCTTGCATCGTATGGGTGCTACTGATTTTTTAGTATGACTCGATTCTTTTGGACCTATTGGGTTAGTAGTTCTGAATGCGCTGGGAAGAAAATTAGAAGCGCCTCAGAGCTGACACAGGCCTTTCCTGTGTTCTGTATCTTGTGAGAATGGAGGGCTAGGAAAGAGTGAGGGGGGGGGAAGGAGGTGGCAGCTCTATTAACCGGGGTCACCATCTCCCCACCCAGGGCGTCGACAGTCCAAGAGGCAGCTCCGGAACGAAAAGGATAAGCCACTGCCTCCACTGCTGGCTCGAGTTGGGGGCAACATTGAGGTGAGAGCTGGCCTAGGCCCCTCTAGGAAATTGAAGCTGAGTCACTGATGGTAGAACAGACCAAGAAATGAGATCCTGGACATTCACTGCCCACTCCCTCCTTGCCCCCATCATCAGGTGTTGGGATTCAACACCCGTCAGCGGAAGGCCTTCCTCAATGCTGTGATGCGCTGGGGCATGCCACCACAGGACGCCTTCACCACCCAGTGGCTGGTGCGGGACCTCAGGGGCAAGACTGAAAAAGAGTTCAAGTGAGTGGGGGTGATACAGGGCTGAGCTGGATGGAAGGGTAAAAACTTTGGGTGTTACTGCCTTCCTCTTGGCCACCATATGATGTGACCTTACTCAACTGATCACCGTACTCCCTGCCAGACAGTCTTTCCTGGCTCAGTTTCCTGGGGGGTGGGCTCAGCCTGCCCCACCTCCCCTCAGATGAGCCTAGAGCAGGGAGGCCAGGCTTCCTCCCCAATGGGAGAGGCAGTTGAGACAGGAGCCTCGCCTGGGCTGTCCTTGCCTCACATTTATTTGACCATGATAACCTGGCAGGGGGGCTGGTGGGAAGGATGAAGAGCTGACTGATGGGGCCTAGGAATGAAGTAACCAAGACCAAGGGGACTGTGGAAATGCAAGGGGAGGGGCAGATGGGGGAGTTAGGATTTGGAGGACAGGTGATGGTGAGATTGAGAGGCCCAGGGGAGGACCCCTGGAGGCACCCGGGAGTTTCAGGTTCAGTAATCCCTGTGCCCCCTTTACTGCCCTGCCCCCCCTAAGGCTCTTCTAACACACCTCCCACCCCCGTGCTCCTTAGGGCCTATGTGTCTTTGTTCATGCGCCATCTCTGTGAGCCCGGGGCAGACGGCTCTGAAACCTTTGCTGACGGGGTCCCTCGGGAGGGACTGAGTCGCCAGCAAGTGTTGACCCGCATTGGAGTCATGTCTCTCGTCAAGAAGAAGGTATCCGTCTTCCCCTCAGCCAAAGAGGCTGGCCGCCTAGGCCCTGTGCTCCTCTGCCTCTCGTCCCTGAGTTCCGGACTCACGCTGGTGCGAGAAAGGGAGAAGCGCTGGAGCTTGCTGTATGTCCGGTCGCCGGAGCTGATCTCTGTCCCTACGACTCCCCCGCACCCTTCAGGTTCAGGAGTTTGAGCACATCAATGGGCGCTGGTCTATGCCGGAGCTGATGCCTGACCCCAGTGCTGACTCCAAGCGTTCCTCCAGAGCCTCCTCTCCTACCAAAACGTCTCCCACCACTCCTGAGGCTTCTGCTGCAAACAGTCCTTGCACCTCAAAACCTGGTAATCAGCTCAGGATGGCAGGAGAGACAGATGGGGCCAGTGTCCGTTAGACGCCAAGGGTCTGGAGTTGGGGTGGGGAGTTTCTGCCTGCCTCACTCTGCCTTACCCCCGCAGCTACTCCAGCTCCCAGTGAGAAAGGAGATGGCGTAAGGACACCTCTGGAGAAGGATGAAGCAGAAAACCAGGAGGAGAAGCCAGAGAAGAATAGCAAAATTGGGGAGAAGATGGAAACAGAGGTGTGTGTGTGGCTACCTAGCTTCCTTTGAGGGAAGGGAGTGGCAGAGTCGTGGAGGCAGGTGTCTAGGAGCCGCCACTTCATCCTGACTCCGTTGTCCTCCTTTAGGCTGATACCCCCAGCCCAGCCCCATCACTTGGGGAGCGGCTGGAGCCAAGGAAGATTCCTCTAGAGGATGAGGTGCCAGGGGTACCTGGAGAGATGGAGCCTGAACCTGGGTACCGTGGGGACAGAGAGAAGTCAGGTGGGTGCATGGCCTTAGGGGTGATGGGGGGCTTAGAATTTGGGGGTTCCCTCTTCCTGGGGTCAGGGGCTGAGGGTGACATCCTCCCTTCCTGTCCCCTACCCCCTCCCACAGCCACGGAGTCGACGCCAGGAGAGAGGGGGGAGGAGAAGCCGATGGATGGACAGGAGCACAGGGAGAGGCCGGAGGGGGAGACGGGGGATTTGGGCAAGAGAGGTAATGGGTGGAAGGACCGGACACCTGGGTCCCTGAGGGAATCAGGGGAGGGGAGGTGGAGTTTTGGGAACCAAATGCCTGGGTCCTGGGTGGGTAGCTGTTCCAGGGGCCAGTACACTACAGAGAGTAGTCTTGGGACCTGGGAGGAGACTCTCCTGAGGTGTGAGCTCTGCCCTGTCTGCCGTAGCAGAAGATGTAAAAGGGGACCGGGAGCTTCGACCTGGGCCTCCTCGAGACGAGCCGCGGTCCAACGGGCGACGTGAGGAGAAGGCAGAGAAGCCGCGGTTCATGTTCAATATTGCAGACGGTGGCTTCACAGGTGGGGGGGTCCTCACTGCCCTCTGCTCCTCACTGGGGTTAGCTCATCCTCATGGGGTTTCTCTTTGGGCCTGAGGCCTCCTTCCGCCTTCAGTTCCAAGTAACTGTCAATGAAATGGTGCATGCTGCCTCTGATCCTTGCCCTTGGTCCTCCTTAAGTGTACTCCTAACTCCAAAGCTGCCTTAATCCCACCTGTACTCTTAATCCTAACTTGAACCTTGTTTGTAACTAGTTTTATTCCTAACCCCTCACCTAACCTTGCCCTGTTCCTCCTAAAAAGCCCTTAGTCCTGTCCCACTGTTCAGTTCCCTCCTCTGTACCAGTCTGTTGGGCTTCACAAACTCCTGATGCCTCATCTGTCTTCTGTCCTCTTTTCAGAGCTCCACACGCTGTGGCAGAATGAGGAACGGGCAGCTGTTTCCTCGGGGAAACTCAATGAGATCTGGCACCGAAGACATGACTATTGGCTTCTGGCTGGGATTGTCCTGTATCCTTGGCTACAAATGCAAGAAAAAAATGTTCTCTCAGCCTGGAGAGAGGGGAACTACACTTAGGGAAGGGGGCCTAGTGCCACACTTTGGGGCGACCAGGCCAAAAGGAAGGCGTTCACAGCCCAGCCCTGTTAAATTCCTTGATGATCCACTTCCTTTATTGGCAGCCATGGCTACGCACGGTGGCAGGACATCCAGAATGATGCTCAGTTTGCCATTATCAACGAGCCATTTAAAACTGAAGCCAATAAGGGGAACTTTCTGGAGATGAAAAATAAGTTCCTGGCCCGGAGATTCAAGGTGAGGATGAGGGAGGAAAGGAACAGTGTTGAAGAGGGGCTTGGGTGAGAAGTGGGACCAGATCTGGTTGGAATGTAGGCAGGGTTAACACCTTGAGGGTTGAGGCGATGCTTGAGGCAAAGACCAGAGGGTCACCTTGTGTTTGGCACTGTGGTCTGGATCGGGGTCACAGTCAGTATTGGTGTGGAGCTGGGGGTCTGGGCCGCTGGTGAGGGCAGTGTGGGTCTCCAGCCCCGAGCTGCGTGCTTGCTGCTGGCAGCTCCCGCACTCACCCCCTCCCCACGCCCTTAGCTCCTGGAGCAGGCGCTGGTGATTGAGGAGCAGCTGCGGCGGGCGGCCTACCTGAACCTATCACAGGAGCCGGCGCACCCCGCCATGGCCCTCCACGCCCGCTTCGCCGAGGCCGAGTGCCTGGCCGAGAGCCACCAGCACCTCTCCAAGGAGTCGTTGGCGGGGAACAAGCCGGCCAACGCCGTGCTGCACAAGGGTAAGGGCCGCGGCGGCCCCGCGCGGGGGAGGGCCCACAACGCTGCGTAAGTCTTCACCCCGCACCCCTCAAAATCTTCCCACCCCTCTGACCCCTTTACCCTCTGAACCACCCCCCTCTGACCTCTGACCCCACCCCGACCCACCTGGTACCCCCTTGGTTTTTAGCCTCTAGGATTCGTGCAGCCAGCCCTCATCCGTGCCTAGTAGCATTCACATCAGTGCCTAAGGGAGGGACCTTCCCCCCAACCCCCCAATCTCCATGAGACTGTGCCACGTCCCCTCCACAGGGCAGAACTTCTTCGCTGACCCACACACCTGCCATATTGCTAATAGCACTCTCTCTGGGGCCCTGGCCTGTGTATAGTCCACAAAAGTCCTTACCCCCGGTCCCACAAACCACGTTCCTCACGTCTCATTCACCCCATGAAGCAGAAAGCACCTCCGTCCCACCCTCTGACCCTACCCCATGAAACTTCCCTTTGACCTTCAACCCTTCCTCCCAAACCCTCTTACCTTGATAATAATAGATTAAGTTCTAAAGCCCTCTAACCATCTAATCCTGTCTGATGTAGTGACTGATTCCTGGCCCCTTTGACTCCTGTTCTAATTCCTTGAATCTGTAATGCTGACCCTCTAACCTCCCTCCCCCCCTTACATATTAAAACTTTGATTCCTTACGTCTTTGACACCACTTACCACCTCCCACGCCTCCTGACTATTTCCTCCCCATCATCCCCAACCCCAAAACCTCACTCTTTCAGTATGGGATGTTCTGACAACTCCCCGCCCCCATGTCTTCCGATGTCCTCCCTCCCCTATCTCCCTTTTCTCCATATTCCCTTTTCCTTTCTTCTTTCTCTCCATCTGTGTCCTCTGTGGTGATCTGGTCTCTCTGCCTCTTTACCTGACACTTTTTCTTGTCCCCGAGTTGCTCTTTTTTTCTACTTCTGTCATTTCCTTGGTCTCTGATTCTTCGACATCTGTGCCCTCCTCTCTCTCCTTCTCTGACTGTATCTGTCCATGTGACTCCTCATCTCTTTTCCTGGCTCCATCTCTCCCTTTCCCTGTCTTTCTCTTGCCCTTCTTTCTCCGTGGCCCGGGCCCCAGTTCTGAACCAGCTGGAGGAGTTGCTGAGCGACATGAAGGCGGACGTGACCCGCCTGCCAGCCACGCTGTCCCGAATACCCCCCATCGCAGCCCGCCTTCAGATGTCCGAGCGCAGCATCCTCAGCCGGCTGGCCAGCAAGGGCACGGAGCCTCACCCCACACCGGTAACCCTCTTTCCCCCGACTCCAGTTTTCCCTGTTGGTACTCCTCCTGCACACGTAGGAACACCTCCTTCAGAGCCCCGTGCAGTGTGGAACAACGACCTGCTCCAGCACGCTCGTCAGCCTTGAGCCTCCCTGCCTGTGTGATACCCCTCAGTAGTTCTGGAGTTGGCCCATGATGTCTCCCCGACAGCTTCTTTCCTCACAGACTGTGGACCCTCTAATGTTGGCTCGCTCTCTCTTCCAGGCCTTCCCCCCGGGGCCGTACGCTACACCTCCGGGGTACGGGGCGGCCTTCAGCGCCGCACCCGTAGGGGCCCTGGCCGCCGCAGGCGCCAATTACAGCCAGATGCCTGCAGGGTCCTTCATCACAGGTCAGCTGGTGACTTCCTGCCTCCTGCTCCTTGCATTCTTCCTTTTCCAAGCTTCATCCCTGCTCAGCTACCCTTTTACTTGTCCAGCCCATCTCATTTCCTTGGAAGTATCCAGTGTTTTATGGAATGGAGTGGTTCTGGACTTTGTTTTTCCCATCCCTTTCTCAGCTTCTCTTCCATTCCCATCGTCAAAAACCTCATCTAGGGTTTTAGTGGTTCTGTGGCTTGGTACTACCTACCTGAGCCTCCTCCAGCTGTTTACTTCAGAGGAAGAGAATATGAAATTGGAAGGGGGTTCCGGGGAAAGTTGGAGCGTGTGTTCCATCATGCATACAGTGGGGAATCTCAGAGAGAGAGATTTTTTCCCATCCCTACCTTAGAAAATTGGATGTGGCATGAGGTGACCTAGAAGTAAGAACATACTGTCGTCAGGAAGCAGTCGACAATGGGAAGTGAAGGAGGGATTGACCCTTCCTTACCCCCTTCCCAAACAGCCGCCACCAACGGCCCTCCAGTGCTGGTGAAGAAGGAGAAGGAAATGGTGGGGGCATTGGTGTCAGACGGGCTGGATCGGAAGGAGCCCCGAGCCGGGGAGGTGATCTGTATAGACGACTGACCGGATCCCAGGCCTGCCCTTCACCCAGGCCCCGTCCCCGAGGCCGACCCCCAGCTCAGGCTCTGGGGCCTGTTGCCAGTCCTCCGCCTTCCCCACCCCTTGGGCCCCCGCTGGGCTAGGAGCCCCTTTGCCCCTCTCTACAGCTCTCTTCAAGAAGGGCCCTTTGTCCTTCTCCACCCCGTGCACCTTTCCCACCGTGCTTTGAAGACTGTGCTGGTGAGAAGAGGTCTGGGTGGGAGGTGGTCAGCAGGGTCTTCCGAGTACCTGTACCCCCCACTGCCCAGCACACACAGCTTCCCAGTGAGCGGCTGTGGGGGGGGGGGGGAAGAGGTGGAGCCGCCCCAGTTCTTATTCCTGCAGCGTAAGCTCCATCTCTTGCAGAAGTGGGGGGTTAGCCTTGCCCGGCCTTTAGGGACTTTGGTGGGGAAAAGAGCTTTCAAGAGAGGAGGGTGACTTTAGAGAGGGGTGGCAGTGAGCCCTGGGAGGGTGGAAGGGAAGAGGAGGGGCGGCTGCATGTTTCCTTCCCCTACCTCCCCCCAAATGGAGGGCGGAGCAGTTAACAAGGGAGGGAGTCCATTGCTGTTCAGCCTCAGAATAAAGGCGCCGTTCACTGGCTCAGTTACCTCCTGCGTACCGGCATCTTGTGTTGGGAATCTTCCCCCCTCCCTAGGGACCAAGGACCACCCCTACAAAGAGAGTAATATTTGGGTGATACTCCCTTAAGCCAAAGAGGAGCTCCCCAATCTGTCCTAGGGACCCAGGTAACCTAGAAAGGGTGGTGGAGAACACAATGGGCCAGATGTGGGGGGAGCCCCCAGTTTTGGGGCTCAGGTTCTTGGAGGACTTCTACCCTCCCTCCTGAAGACCTGGATATGAACTAAACTTGAGTGGGTCAGGCAGGGGGTCTAGTCAGGGGACTACCTTGCCTTTGGGACCAGAGCAAAATAGTGGAGGGCAGGCTGGGGAGACATGGGCACATCCTCCTCCCCAGGAGGGGCTGGGGAGAGTGGCAGTTTGCATGGCGAACCCCCCACTTGCTCTTCGCTCCCCTTCACTTTCTTGCTGCTCCTTTCCCGGTCTCTTCACACCCACTCCTGGTCTGTCCCAGTCCCCTCTTCTGTATCAGGTTTATTGGTTGTACATATAAATTATACTTTCCTTTCTGTGTGCTCTGTTATTTTTGAGTGGGGGAGTTCTTTGGTTTTGGGGAGGGATGAGGAAAGAAAGGGTGTTGCTTCCTGCCATTTCCTATTACCCATTTCTCTCTTTTTTTAAATCTTGTGACTTTTCCTTTTTCTCATTTTTATTTGTTGGATCATCAGCTACAACTCCAAGGCTCTTTTTCCAACCCTCACCCCAGTGTGATGAGCTCAGCGGAGATGGAGGGTGACAGCAGGACACCTCCACAGGCCTCAGGTTGAGATCAGAGAGATAGCAGGAATTACTGGACAGAAGTTTAGTGGGAGGGGTGCCTGATAAGTTTCAGAACTGCCTTCCATTCATCCTTTTGATCGTCCTTTCCACCTTCAGCTTGTTTAGTTCTGCCAAGAGTCAGTAGAGGTCACTACAGCTTCATAGGTTCAGTTCCCAGTTGCAGAAGCACACTTTTATTTTAAAGGAGCTGGGGGGTGGGGGGTCAGACCTGCATAGCTTGCTAAAGATTTGAACCGCTGGACACTACAGCTTGACATGTATTCACTACCAGAGCTTCTCAGAGGCTGAGAGACCAGACAATTTTTGAGGCTATTATATTAAAAAATGTAATTCCAACAAGCATTTATTGAGTACATGTTAAAAACACTGCTGTTGCCCTTGGAGATACAACAGTCACAAGTTAGTCACTGCTGTCATGGAGCTTACACTGTAGTGCAGGACACCAACAAAACACATATCAGAAAATAAAAGTAAAAAAACAAGGCATTGTATTACAGAGGGTGAGGGAGGGGGCTACACCAGATTGAAAGCCGAGAAAGACCTCCCCAAAGAGGGAATATTTAAGCTGAGACTTAACGAAAGGAAAAAGGTAAAAACATAGTTAGAAAAATTGAGGTTTATTCTTAATAAGTTCCCCTTTTTAACTCAGGGGAAAATGTAACATAGTCTAGGACCTGGACCAGTGCTTCTTAAATTTTTATTTAAATGGATCACCTGGGATTCTTGTTAAAATGCAGAGTCTAATTCAGTAAGTCAGAAGTGAAATCCTGAGATTTTGCACTTCCAACAAGCTCCCAGTCATGCCGATGCTGCTGGTCCTTGACTGTAACTCTACGATCACAAGATACGAACAGGACTTTTAAATTGAACCCCTGCCCTGAAATAGGTGATGTCTAAATATGGGACACAAGTTTAAAATTGTATGATGAGCATCTTTTTTCAGTAGTGACAGTGTTTCCTTGTGGCTGTAAAAATAATATCGAAAGTTTACAATTCACTGCCATAGCCAAATGGCTCTCCCTCCTATCCTTGATAGGCCCTAATGAGGTGACTCGGATAAATGCCCTTTGGACGTCGTCATACCTGCCCTAGCAGGTTGAAGGGAGATTCTGAAATGAAGCGAGGCTCCTAATCTCATAGGTGGGGATGCGTCTTGACAATTTTAGGAACACAGTACTGGGAAGGGGGAAACTAGTAGGCATACCAGCGGAGGGAGTAGGGGGGGTACGGTTTATTTTTCTCAGTTCTCTTAGGTGCTAGAGAAGTGAGATTAATATGATATGGAAATCAGCCTCTTCTCTCCCGTTCCGTCTTTTTTAAACTTTCAAATCATTGACACAGAATTGCTAAAATGGGACCTGTTGCTCCCACACATCAGAGCTGCCCTGGACAAAAGCCAAAGTCACAGCTAGGGAAATAGTCTGTCTGCTTCCCACGGGAACGTAGACTTTGTTTCTATCCTCCCTGGGCCATTCCATCCTGAATATGCAAGGCTGGCACAGTCGGGGGCGATTCGTCTAGGAGCCTCCCCAGCGCAGCATCAACACCTCCCAGGGCGTTCCCTTCCGCCCTTGGCTCACCTCCCTCATCCGTGACACTCCGGGACATGACAGGGGGTGGGCTTGGCACCAGTTCCTTGTAGTACAGCGCACCCCGAGAATGCAGCTCCCGCCTTTCTTCTGCCGTAGCTTCAGGGTTCCGCGGTTACAGCGTGCAGCGGGTCATGTGGGCCGAGTCCTTGATCTCCGGACAGTACAGCACTGGGGGGAAGGAGGAGGATTAGTGGCAGCGGAAGGGCGCAGCCGAACCGGCGTTCCGGGGCGCTCTCCCTCCACTGCCTACCCGGGCGGCCCCTCACCGTTGCTAGGCAGCGGGCGCCGCCACCTGCGCGCGGGTGCCAGCACCCGGGCCCAGGGCCGCAGGAGCTCACGCCATCGCGCGCTCCTAGGCCCCGCCCCCTTCTCTCCGTTTCCTAGTCATCGGCCTCTCGGCCGCATCACCGCTTTTCCGAACTGGACCACCCGCCCCATTAGATTCGTGCGCGGCCCGCTCTGTTGCCTCCAAGCGTGACCACAAGTCCGGGTTGACAGCGACTTCAGTGACCCTGCCGCGCGGGAGCAGGGTGGGCGTGCGACAGAAGGGGCACATGACGACGTGGCGCAGACTCACTGCGCGCGCGGCCGCCCCGCCGCCGTCGCCACGCGCCGCCAACTCGCGCAGACAGGCGGTGCAGAGCGTGTGGCCGCAGCGGGCGCGCCGTCCCGGGGAGGCGGCGGGGCTCGCGGTCCCCGAGGTTGAAGGGCCGGTAGCAGATGTTGCAGTCCAGCTCGCCCCGCTCCGGAAGAGACGGCACCCTCACCAGGAGCTGCATCGTGCCCGCCGCGGACTCCAGGGCGTCGCTAACGGAGCGGGCCTGTTCTGGGGCCCGCGCCGAGGCCTGTTGCCCCTTTTAATAGTGAGACCCCCGCCCCTCTTGAGGCGTCAAGCGGCGGTCAGGCCGCTCCCCGCGGCAGCACGCGTGGGGGCGGTGGAGGTGCGAGACCCCAAATGCCAGCCATGGCGAAGCGAGGGGAGCGGGCCAGGCGGTGCGAGGGCTGGGGAGGGGAAGTCGCGGCATGCCCCCCACACACACTCCGTCCATGGCTTCCTTTATCCCCCACGCAGAACCAGCGTTCCTTAATTCTACTGTGTGCAAATCCCCAGTTCCCTCCCTGGGCCCGGGCCCTCAGCCACTGGCACAGGGTTTCTCACACTCTTTCACAAACCACCCAAACGTACTTCGTAAGCCAGTGACACCGCCCATTCTGCCCAATCTTTAGTGGGCTTCTGGGCGTTTGAGCAGATGTTGCCCTCAATTTTCCTTGTTATATACGACCTCCCTGTGTTCTTGTAAGAGTGGCTTCCCAAATTTTATTCTCAAACTGCTTAACTCCCAGGTGAAATCTCAGCCTAAGGAGGGCCCTAGATTCCAGGACCACGGCCTTAGGAATGCTGGGAATCCTATCCTTACTGAGTAGCCAGGCCTGGACACCCACACGCCATGATGGCTCCAGCAACGCAGCCCAGCCTGAGCTCTGACTCAGGGGTGTGACTTCTGCTACAGGTAAACAGGACACAGTACTCACAGCCCACATTCCCTCACGGTGCCACACCCATCCCCCAGCCGCAGCCTCACCCTCCTCTCCTGGACCTGCGGTCCAGATTCTGTTGTGGAGGTTCATAGCACGGACTCCAGAGCCTGCTTACCAGTTGTGACACTTTGAGCAAGTTACTTAACTTCTCTGGGACTTGGTTTCCTCATCTATAACATGTGGATGATAATAGGATTGAATCAGCTTATATACTGATTCTAAGGTGCTTAGAATGATACTTGGCACACAGTAAACACGCCATATATTAGCTGTTGTTAGTATCCTGTGACCCAGCCTATGTTGTGTTTACTTTAACTTCTTGGCACCCAACGTTTCCAATACCCATTTCTTTTCTTTTTTTTTTAAACCCTGTTGCTTTCACCTTAGTAACACCCACTCAACCTTCAGCTCTCCATGCAGCCTCACTGTGTGAAATACCCACTGTAGACTCTGGTAACACCACGTGCTTTCCTCTGGACTTTGGACAACCAAAGTTTGTGTGTGTTTGGGGGTTACTTGTTACTTCTTTGCCTTTCCCATCTGTAAACTTCACAATGGTTGTTCTGAGTCTGGTTTTGTTCACCACTGTGTCCCTGTGCTTTGCCATAGTAGGACTCAATAGATAAATGCTTGTTAAATTAATGAACGAGGTGAGTGATAAATATGGTAAACAAGGGAATTCCCTGGCTGTCCAGTGGTTAGGACTCTTTCCCTGCCAGGGGGAACTAAAATCCTGCAAGCCATGCAGCACGGCCAAAAAATAAATAAATAAATAAATTATATATATATATATATATATATATATCGTAAATGAGGTGTGACAATAAAGGAAGATTCCTTACAAGGGGTTTCTAACTGCCTCTGAAGGTAATTCTAAGAGGACTTTTTTAAATGTTTTGAGCAATGGGGTAGGCATCATTAAAATAAGTGCACAACCCTCCAAGGTAACTGTTTAAGGAGAGTACTATTTTGAATTTATAAATTCTTGTATGTTTGTTACAGAATAACTAACAATAGTCACACATTTTTACCTCTTTGTTTCCTCCACAGTCTTCCAAAATGAGTGGGAGATGATAGGAGTGGATGTAAGTATTCATTAGTTGATGCCGTTGGCTGCTAATCCAGTAAATGGCATGCTGCTGACTTCTCTCTTTTGAAAATTGGTTTTATTCTGCTCTCCCAGCTTCGGGATCAAGGAAGGGTGAGGATGGGAAGAAGGGAGATGGTGAGGTTTCATATATATATATATTTTTTTTTTCTTTTCTTTTTTTTTTTTTTTGCAGTACACGGGCCTCTCACTGTTGTGGCCTCTCCCGTTGCGGAGCACAGGCTCTGGACACGCAGGCTCAGCGGCCATGGCTCAGGAGCCTAGCCGCTCCACGGCATGTGGGATCTTCCCGGACTGGGGCACGAACCTGCATCCCCTGCATTGGCAGGCGGACTCTCAACCACTGCGCCACCAGGGAAGCCCGGTGAGGTTATATTTTAAGGGAGGCAGAGCTCATCCTACCCTGCCTTGTGATCTTTAAAGGTTATAACTTTCCACCCACTTTGTGTCCCAGGGAAATCAGAGTTCTTTGGGGAAGAATAAGGGTAAGGCTTCGACATAATCCCATTTGCTTCTGCTTTTCCACCACTCTCACACCTGATCTTTGACTTGTTTTCTTTTTTTTCTTTACAATATTTCTTTTCCCTGTCTCTGTATCATTTCAACCATAGACCGGTTTTCATTTTACCTCTCCTTCCCCAAATCCCAAAGCCTCAACCTCAGAACAGCCCCTCCCCCTCAGCCACAGTAAAACCACCTAGATAGTTCATTGGCGTATGTGTGGGTATCAGGCAAGAGGGAACAAGACGAATGGCTAATATAACTTTCAAAACAAAACAAGGGGGCTTCCCTGGTGGCGCAGTGGTTGAGAGCCCGCCTGCCGATGCAGGGGACACGGGTTCGTGCCACAACAGCGAGAGGCCCGCGTACCGCAAAAAAAAATCACAAAAAAACAAAACAAGGGTAAGAGTGAGCATCAGAGGGAGGTGCAACAAAGCTATGAAGTCAGGCCTGTGGGTTCTAAGGAAGAAAGCTGTGGCCTGGAGGATCAGGTGCCTGGGTCCTTGATGAGAGCAGTGACTAGGAGCATGACGCCTGGGTCACTAAGGTAAAGGAGCAGTGGAAAGGTAGTGCTGGACCTTTCTAACGGCAGGGTGCTAGAGGCCCAGATACGTGAGACTGAGATCCTAACCTCTCAGCCCCCAGCAATTTCAGACGCGGTAAGTGATGATCAAGCTGAGATTTTATTTACAGTTCCCTGGGAAGTCTTACACAAGAGGGGCCATCATTATTGCTTTAAGATTATTGCCAGGAGGAAGACTACAGTCCTCCACTCCCGGGTAGGAGTCCTGCTCAAGGATCAAAAGTTTATCCCCAGACCTTTTTATGTCAGCCCCATTTCTCTGCCGTGACCTAAAGGTTGTCACCTTTTCCTGCGAATTGCGGCCCAACCGTACTTTCCAAGGGCTTCCCTGGCCACTTGTGCCAGGACAGGCTATACATCGGCCGTCAGTTTTCCCTCGTCAGTGCTTTGTCACTGCACTCCCCACCCTACCCCTCTCTGACAAGAACAAAGTATCAACACTTTTTGTGGTTTTAAGCCCTCCTCCACCTCCTGGCTGAGGCAGGGTCCTAGTTTCCCAAAGATTATCATTTACTTCCTGCCAGGACCAGCCTGGCTTCCTTTGTAACGAATGTAAGAGCCCCATCTCCTTTGTCCCAGATGACATCAAAACTCACTTCATATTAGGTTGTTACCCCTTGATGACATTTCAAGGGCCACTTTTGAGGTACTCTGCATGGGTCTTGTATCTGCCTTTTTTTTCCCCCTGGGCCTCGGCGATTAGGGGAAGAGAGAAGGGAGCGAGGCCAAGTGGCAGAGAGGGGACAGCCCAGTAGCTCATGCCCAGGATTAGCAGGGAGGCCTAGGAGGACGCAATAGGGGGTGGCGGACTACTTTCCCTCTCAAGCCCCACTGCGGGAGGATATGGCTTTGTTCATGCTTTCGCTACTGTGACCGGAACTCGTTAGTGGGCGGGGCCTCCCTGGCTCCGGCCGCTGCGTGGAGGGATCCGGAGCGGGAGGGAGGCGGGGGCGGGAAGCGGTCCTGGGAGGGTGCAGCGGCTCCGGTTTGGGTCCCTGCGCCCCCGACGGACTATTTCTTGAGATGCGGTTTGTGGCCCAGGAGCCCTTCTATCTCCATCACCGTCTGCGGGGTCAGCTGACTCAGCACCTGGAATTGAATGGGGTGGTGGAGAGGGCAGTGCATGCAGGGGTGCTGAACAAGGGAATGAGGTTCGAAAACCCGGGGAGCCGCACAGCGAAGCCAGGTGGCAGGGAAAGAGTCGCAGCTGTGCCCCTGCCTCACCGTCTCACCCTGGGACCTCTCATTTGCCAAGCGAGGACATTGTAGTGGGTGACCTCACAGGCCCATTCTGGGCTGGACAGCAAGGCCTTGCTTGAGTGCTGGGGCAGGGGACAGAGATGGGCTCTGGCTCTGACACACACCCCCACTGCCCCCCACACCCCTCCCCCCTCACCTGCAGGGCGCCCAGGTGTTCAATCAGCTGCTCTGCACTGGACACCCCCAGCAAGACCGAGCTGACACCCTCACTGCGGAGACACCACGCTGGGCCAGAGAAGGAAATAAAAAAGAACTGGTGGGAAACAGTGAGCACGCAGACTTCAGAGGTGTCTCCGAGGAAGAGGGTCCTCCCCAGAGACAAACCAGTCTGCGGTTTGGTAGCATCTCAGGAGGAGACAAGGCCTCTGCAGGGTCCAGGGCTGGCAGTGTCTCACCAATAGCAAGCTGCGCCACGGTGCAGCCCAGCTGGTGAGCGATGGGGAGAAGGTCCATGACTTTGGCTTGTTGCTTTTTGCCGTCCTCACTCTGCACTTTGTCTTTGTGCCACTGGTAGCCCTGGAGGCCAAGGAGAATCAGCAAAAGACGACTCCTCAGATAGCCCACTCCTGCCGTCCTGAGCCCCCAGATCTCACCTTGATGTTGACCCTGCAGGTATCTGGGACTCGCCCATCATACTTGCTAGTGATGAGGCCACAGGCCAGAGGGGACCAGGTGACTGAGCCAACACCTAAGAGGAAGAGGATTGGATGTGGGAAAGGGATCTAGGTGATGGTGAGGCCGAGGGAAAGGTAGGGATGAGGGGACTTCGAACCAATCTTGTGGTAGAGCTCTGGCAGCTGCATCTCCACCTTCTCTCTGTGAAACAGATGGTGCTCAGCTTGTTCACACACTGGAGGAATCAGGTTGAACTGTCTGGCCATGGAGTAGGCCTCCTGGGTTGGGGTGGGGAAAAGATGGGGGTCAGAGCACTCCTTCCATTTTCTTCCACTCCCCCCGCCTCCAGTAGAGTGGGGTTTGGAGTGGCCATGTGAAAAGTGGGAACAAGTTGTAGGACGGCGAGGTGGGTGGCATACTCACCATGATTTCTGCAGCCCCCCATCGGGATGTCCCCCAGTATAGGGCCAGGCCCTGGTTGATGACATAGGTCATGGCTCGCACAATCTCTAGGCACATAGGAGAGGGAGAGCCTCACTGTCAGACCCCTGGCATCCTGGGTTCCAGATTTGCAGACCTCTGCCTGCCCCACCAAGGCCCCACTCATCCCTGTGGAGTCAGAGAGGTTGGTATCTGCTTTTCACCTCCCTCCCTGTCCAAGTCCTGGGGTCTGAGCCTCTACTGTGGAGCTTGGGAGGCCTCCTGAGCAGGGGCTGGCTTCTGCTGAGGGTTTTAGAAGTGCTCAATTTTGAAGGGCTGTCAGGGTTGGGGTGCTGCTTTTACCCTCCATGGGACTGTTGGGGTCTGAGCGATTGGCGAAGATGATGTCCACATATCCCAGCTGGAGGCGTTCCAGGGATCCTCGCAAGCCTGGGGTAAAAGCATGGGGCGAGGAAGGTAAGCTCTTCAGCTTCAGTTTCCTAAGAATTTAGACCTTATCCTTTTGCCATGGCCACCTAAATCCCAGCTTCCCTATTCAAAGCCTCAGACTCAGAGCTTCAGAGAATGTTCCCAACTCCTCTGGCTTCCATACCCAGCCACCTCCAGTTCCCAGCCCCTAACTCTTACCCTCAATGATGTGTTTGCGGCTCAAGCCTCGCTCAGTTTCTGCCCTGTAGGAAAAGGTAAGTCAGAGATGAGGTGTGTCAAAGATAAGGGACCAGGGCTGGCCTGGAATCATGAGGAACTGGTATTTCAGGGGTCCTCACAGGCAGGATGCAGACCTGGGGAAGCAGGTGCAGGGACTGCTGTCCCCACCCCCATCCCATGCACCTTCACACAGTCTCTGCAGATCTCCCCAATTATTGTGAGGCAGCCACTTACTGTCCTCCCCCAAAAATCTTGGTGGTGATGACATAGCTTGATCTCCTGGAAAAAAGAGAAATGGTAGAACGGGCAAGAAAAGGATTTTTGGATGATCATGTCCCCAGCAACCTCCTGGCCCTCCCCACCCACCCAACATGTCTTACCTCCAACCTTTGCTCTTGAGGATGTTGCCTAGGGTTCTTTCAGCCCTGGAAGGAAGACAGTGTAGAAGCACTGACCCCTCCAAAGTGGATCAGTTTCTTTCCTTCCTCCCCACCTTTCCCTTCAACTAATTTCCTCTCCTGTAAAATGGAGCATAAACGAGGAGCCCATTGGGCTGTCAGCCCCATCCTAGACTAAGTAAGAGGGGCTCCCAATCTAGGGTTATAGTCGTATCATTTTCACTCATTCATTCAACAAATGTCAGCTGTGCATCACTGTGTACCAAGCTCTGTTCTGGGTGCTGAAGGGATAGAATAGGATGAGAGAAGAGGGACCAACTACAGTGGAGCCAGGGAGGACACTGCCTCGTCTGGTTCCAACCATTTGTATTGCTCTCCCCCTTCTTTTAGTCTTTGCAAAGTTCCACCCATCCTCCAAAATTTAGCTTGGTCCTCCAAAATTTAGCTTGGATTCTGCCTCATTCTAAGGAAAATGTTCTCTGATTGCTGTAGTCTATGGTCAGTCCTTGTCAGCTTCCATAGCTCTTATTGGCTACACAATTTTTTGACACTTAATCATGAGTTAATGTGTGACAAGTCTTAAGTTATGGTGGGCTCTTACTGAAGTGTTACTGTTATTTAATCTTTCGTATCTCCTTGTCTTTTGGTTGGTTTGTTTAACCACTTAGACTGTGAGCTTTTTGAGGGCATATTGATGTCATCCTTCAATCAGATACCTGCTCTGTGACAGGCTCTGCATAGGTACTTAGGTGACGTGGGAAAGAGCAAGACAAGTTCTGTGGAGGGAGGAGCCTCCCAGGTGAGCAGTGAATATGGCCTTGTAAACGAGTAATTGATGAACTCTGTGTCAGAGGGTAGTGTAAAGTGCTTTGGGAGCTGACGGGGATAGTGACCAACTTTGGGGAGTTGGGCAAAGGCTTCTTGGAAGAGCTGACATCTGGGACAAGTCTTAAAGATAAGCAGAAGAGTTTGCCAGAAGAAGAGGCAGGAGTAGTCATCCTAGGTTTTTACTATTTGCAGCGTGAAGCCATGTGTGCTGTGGTATAGTATGTTTGAAATTTATCTTTGTCATCCTCACATAGTTGCACATAAATGATGTGCAGGAAATAGTTGTTTGTTTTATTTCATTTTGACTGCACAGTATGCCCCATTGCCCTCAAAGCTGGAGAGAGACAGATGTTGGGACTACACTTCCCATAATGCTTTGGGGCCCCATTGGCTGAAAGGTTGGAACTTAGTGATGCAGAATTCCCAGGGTTCTTTAGGGGGGAAACCAAAAAGCCCTGATATTCTCTCAGCCTTCCCAGTTTAACTTAGTCTTTCACCCCAGTCCTTACTTTCCCGCTGCATACACTTCGGTGGTGTCAAACAGGTTTACGCCATGCTCATAGGCTACTGTCAGCACATCCTCTGCTGTCTAGGATGGTGAGAGAAAAAGTTGAAGACCAGCAACCAGCCTCTCAGTTACCTTCCTTACGGCATTCTAGCCCATCAGACCTCAACCTTGGTTTCCACATTCACTCCCCTTTCCCCATCCTCCAACCTCAGGTCCACCGTTCCCCATGCTTGTTGTCCAAACCCCTATGCAAGTCCATTTCCCCCCTTTTTGGTTCTCTCATACCCCCTCACCCTGCTTCTAGGTCCCATCACTTATACCTCATCTGAGATCTGAGAACCAAATGTGACCCAGGTACCTGCAAGAGAGAAGCCAGGCAGGTGAGACCTGTGGGGGCAAGCCATGAAAGAACTCCCCTTCCCTTAATTCCTCTTCTTTCTAACTCACCTAGGCCAAGGCAGGATACCCGAAGACCAGACTTTCCTAGGTTCCTGCAGGACACAGAGGCAGAAGGAAGGGGTAGAGCCTCCATTAGGAACATAGATTATCAGCCTCCAGTTCGTCTCCTTCCTCTCAGTCCAAAGAAGCTAGACTCAGTGAGCCCACTGAATTGGGCAGTGCTATGGCCATAGCATAAGTGAACAAATAATGACTGTTCCTCTGGAGCCACTGTCCAGTGCCTCTGTTCCCTCCTATCACATTGAAGATGCGCTGCCTGCTTAGCGTTTCTGCTGGTGGGTCTTGTGTTTATTTGAGTCATCTCTGGGATGTGTAGAGTCGAGGGTGGGGGTTGGCTGGGAGGAATGCGACTGGCTAATTGTGATGAGTTTGTGAAAACATCATCAGAGAGTGCTGTGCTAAAGGGCAGACACTGGGGTGGAAGGGGTAAACCAAGTCAAGTTCAGGCACTCAGGCAGGCAAGGATCCTTGGATAGGCTAGGCAGGGGGGCCTCCAACAAAAGCAGGTAGGACACCTGGGTGGAGAGTATGAGAGGTAAGACCAGTTCCCCCTCTTCCCCTCTCTACTCCCTCTGCTCCTGTTGGCTTGTAAAGTCTGTCTTCAAACCAGAGAGCCCCTCCTCCCAAGGACCCGCCACCCAGGCCATCCAATCAGGGCCACCACATGGAGGGGATCAAATTCCTCAAGTGACAAAGCCAGGTCAGATCAGTGACCTCTGCTCACTCTCAAGCAGGAGCCCCTCCCCTCCCCCCTACTGGTAGTCCTGAGAGCCCAGCGGTTCTCTGAGATAAAGTCGGTTACATTTCCGTCCACCTTACCCACATGGCCCCTGTCCTTTAGCAGGGGGTTGAGAGATGTGGTCCATCCTTCCAAGGGCCCCACTTCCCTCCCCACCAAGAAGGGTTGCAGGAGACCTTGGGGCATGTGGGGGCAGTATCTGGGTCAGGCACACTGAGCAGGCCACAGTGAGAAGCCGTTTCCTTCCCCCATCTTCCCAGGACACGACCCAAGGACACTTCATCCCGGGGGGTGGGGGTGGGGGTGTGCAGCCTGGAGATCCGTGCATCCTTCGCCTTCCTGAGGGTAAGGAGGGAAGCTTAGGAGTATCCCCTGGGTCTGACAGGCCTAGTCAACCTTGGTAAACTTGATTTTCTACTAGTCGGGGGTATGGACGGAGAGCAAGAGAGGGCCCAAGTAAGGGAGTGCCAATGATGGGAAGAGGAGATGGAGTGAGCCGGGACCTTCTTAGCGAAGTTTGAGGGGGTTCTGGAAGCATCCCAGGAAGCCTCAGGGGTCACGAAAGGGGAGCAGATGTGGCGGGCTGCCCGGCCACCCCCATACCTGTATTTCATGCCAGTGCCTCGGCCGGTGCTCTCTCGGAGGACCCCAGCGGGCGCTGGGGGTCGGGGGACCACTGCGGCCCGGGCCTTGGGGCCCGACCCTCCTCCCCCCGGAGGATTCCCATGCCCCCCGCCGACCGGCCCGCCATTACCGCCCCCGGGGCCCGGCCGGGGTCCACACAGACGGTCCTCACTGCTCCGGCTGCGAAGGTTCTGCTCGGTACATGCGATAGACACCTGCATGCCGGCTGGCCAAGGCGAGGGAGGGGGCTCCGAGGGGGCGTGAGGAGGAGGGAACCGGGAAGCCCGAGGGGAGACACCCGGGGGTGTAGTGGCGCGAGCCCTAGAAGAGCGGGAAGGCTGAGGAGGTTGCGGCGGGAGCAGCCAGGCAGGATCCGGCTCGCGGGGGCGGGCTGCTGGAGGTCGCGGGGTTTGCGGCGGAGAGGAGAAACGCGGGGGGGCGCCACGAGTGGAGCGATTAGGATTCGGGGGTACTGGCGCAGGGAGGAGAGGGGGAAATGGACGAGGGTAAAGGTCGAGGGCTATCCTCGGAGGGTAGGAACTTAGGGACGGGGGAGGGCGGAAGAGAGATGCCACCTCAGCCCGAACCGCAGCGGGACTCGATAGACTCCCAGCCGCGTCGGCTGCGGGCCCAGCTTATCAACGTGCAGACACCGCCCCCTCATCTGCATAAAGACGCCCGCCCCCCAGCCAAAACCTGCCGCTCATCTGCATAAGCCCCACCTTCCGGAGCTCCGCAGCTTGGGTGTTCTGTGGGCTCACAGGAACCGGAGAGCAGAACCGGGAGGGTGGTTCTACTCTCTGCACCCCGAGGCCAGTCGGCCTTCCCCCAACCCAGTGGTTTTCAATCAGTGAGCTATTTTCTCCCCTAGGGGACGTTTGGCAAGATCTGGAGACATTGTTGACTGTCACGATCTGGGTGCGCGCGCGCGCGCGCGTGTGAGAGAAAGAGAGAAAGAGAAAGACATGGAGACGTGCTACCAGCATCTAGTGAGTGGCGGCCAGAACAAAGTACACGACAGCACCCCCCCCACACACACACACCAAGATATTATCCAGCCCCAAACGTCAATAGTGCCGCTGTTGAGAAACCCGTGGACAAAGCCTCTTTGCTGGCTCAGGGGATGTGAACACCCTGGTTCACGCCTTCATGAGAGGGGCAGGCCCCGATCGACCACTGAAACTAACACACTCAGGTCGCAGAGGGTGATAAAAAGTTTATTCTATACTTCTCCCAGCGTCAGGTAGGGGATAAAACTGGAGAGAGGGCCTGGTTTGGAGGTGTAGAGACTCCAGTAGGCTTCCTTCCTGTGATGGGAAGGGCACCATGGAGGGCTTTTTAGGCTGTTCCCCTGGGAGGGCTGCCAAGGGGCCTGACGGGGATGGAGGAGCTGGGGCCGTGGGGCTGCCAGTAGGGGCCCTCTGGTGAAACAAAGGGCCCCAGACAGACAGGGATTCTTCTGAGGGGTGAGGTAGAGTGCTTCCTTCAGCCAGCCCGGGCGGAGAAGAAGGGCAGAGAGCGGACGTAGGAGTCCAGTCGGGAGCGGAAGAGCTCACTTTGCACAGTTTGGCCCAGCGGGCACAGGGGATTCTTCACCACCAGCTCCACGTACAGCTGTGGAGGGGGAGGGTGTTAGAGCCAGGCTTTGAACACTTCTTGTTTTGAACCCCAAACCTACTATAACCTCAAGGGTGTGTGAATGCACAGCGATCAAGGGCTGGAAGGCAAACCCTCCTTGGGGAGAAACTGGTGGTGGGAGTGTATAAGGACCTAAAGGGTCCCAAGAAGTCTGACTTCAATAGAGATACAATACAGTAGGATTAGGGCAGGGAAGCTGAAGGAGTCTTGGGGCTCTAAGTGGCCATGGCTGTTGAAGCTTTGGCGGAAGGGTCCGAGGGGCTGGCACTGACCGCACTGTAGATGTGGTGCAACACATCTCGGATGGGTCCCACGCCCAAGTCAGTGTTCATGACAACCTTGATCCCAGTGGGCGTCTCATAGTAATGGAGTTTGTAACGGCTAGTTTGGAAGGCCAGGAAGCCGTCCTTCCTGCAGAGATGAGGAGGATGTTAAGGAATAGAAGCGAAATCTCTCCCAAAGAGATTCTTCTGATCTCCTCTAGATTGACTCCCTCTTCTCTAAACATGTCGTTTGTAGGAGCCTGGTTGACTAAAGACACCTCCCATCTTCACCCCTCAATTTAGCCCCGTTGCCCAACCTCTCTACCTTCAGATCTTCCCCACCGCCGCTCCTGCCAGCTACTGCACTCTCGCCCCGGACTCAGCCTCTCTCCCTGTCTCCTTACCCTCTCTGGGGGCCAAAGCCCCTTCCACTCCAGAAAGTTTCCCCCACCCCCAAATTCCCTCCCTCCCTCAACAACCCTTCTGACTACGCGTACATGTCTAGCGGGGACATCTTGCTGACAAACGAGCGGATAGAGAAGAGCATCCCGTACATCAGCTTGTACTCCTGGAGGGAGAGGGGCAGAGTTAGCTCTCGGTTTTTAAAGGAGCCAGGGTTGGGGTGGGAAGGAGCCAGGGTTTGGAGAGAAGAAGCTGGACTGGGACAATGTGCATTTGGAGATGTGAGGTCACCCGGGTTGCGCGGGGCCCTCTCGTCACCTCCTCCTTGGGGATCCCCGCTTGCTTCTTGCGGTGCCACTCGCTGTAATGCAGACACACTCCATTCCGGTCAAACAGGTACAGGTTGTGGACAGTCATCTGCAGGGCAGAGAATGTGAGCCTCACTCCGGGACCGCCCACACCCCGTAGGCTCCAGTTCTTAGCCCGGGATCCCTCCAAGCAGACGGGGACCCCTCCCGCGAACTCACCGGAACTTCTCCGAGTGCCCGTCACTCGATACTTCCGGCTTCCGCGGAGCCCCGCCCCACCGGGTCTACACACTCTAGCGGCGGAGAAATAACCCCGCCCCTATACCTCTCTCAGCCAATCCGTGGCCGTCGGATACGCGCACGCGCGTCCAGGCTCTCCGGCTCCAGAAGCTGTGAGAGCGGCTGAAGACAAGGTGTCCTGGACTGGTGACGTCATCGAGGCGAGCGAGGCGGGGCTGCGGACTGTGGGCGGGAGGCTGCCAACGGTTTTGATTGTAGGGAAGGGCGCGAGAAGGGGGGTGTCTTGGTGTTGCCGAACTGGGGCTTAGGGGAGGGGGCAGACCCTTGTCCCCACCTTGGCCGACTGCGTGGCCGAGGACTGGAGGTGTGGAGAGCAGTTGGAACGGGGTGGTCGGGGTAGGGGATCTCAGGCTAGGCTTGAGCGCGGCGTACTTTTTAGGGACGTCTGAGGGCGTGACTGAGTGTTCACCAAGTTTCTTTGGGGATAGTAGGGAGGGAGGGATTCTAGGGACCTTGCTATGGCTTTCTTGACAGGAGGGATCGGAGGGGATATACTAGAGAGTTGACCCTGGGTAGAACGAGTGCAGTGGGAGGAGAGGGGAGGTGGGGAGCATGAGGTTCCTGCCCCTCTGAGACCACAGCCAGTTGAGGGGCAAATAAGGCAGCTGGACGGAAATTAGGCCTCTGTTGGATTTGGGTCCGTTTCAGTTTGCACGTTCTGGGTGTGAAAACTTAAGAGCTCAGTTGGCCAGTGATAACCTGTGCCAGAAGTTGATCTGCAGCTTTCAGTGCTCCAGAGGAACTGCAGCAGGCCTTCTGTCCCCACCCTCTCCTTGCTGCACCCTCCTTTTCCACTGTTACCAGGAGCTGTGGAAAGAAATACTTTTGCCCTCTCGCATGGCCTCTGGAACCGTTGGAAACCTTTCTTCTAACCAGAAAGGCTCCATACCCTCATTCAACAAGAATCCTTCACTTGGAGTCTTCCTCCTTTCTCCCAAATCTTCCTTCTCGGGGTACTTTCCCCCTGTGCTCTCCTAAAGCAGAACCAGGAGTTCCCAGCTCTGCTGTCTCCAGTTGTCTCTTCCCTGTACTCATGGCAACATCAGCTACCAGCCCCAGTTCACCTCTCCGGGCCAAGGATCTCCTGAGTGATTCATCAGAAGCCCCTGGGCTGAACCAAGCATCCTCTGAGGTGACCTCCCAGCTGTATACTTCTTTGCACCTCAGTCGTCAGGCAGAGAGCACAGCCCGAGCCCAGCTGTTTTTGCCCGCCACCTTCCCACCTCCTCATGAGGTGTTAGATGGCTTGGCCCAAGAACTGAGTCACAGCTTGTCGGTTGGACTGGAGAACAACTTGAAGAAGAAGGTGAGGGAGGTGTGTCTTGGAAACCTCTAGGGTCTTGGGATTGGGAGTGGTAAAAAAAAAAATAGCTTTACTGAGACTTGAACTCCTATTGTTGGATTCCAAATTCCTTTTAACTACACAGTCAGTCATGCTTGTTCCTGGGAACAAATGTTTATGAGGTAGAGAGTGGCCTGGGCCACCATAATTTGGAAAGTTGTGAAACTACTAGCTCTTTTTTTTTTTTTTCCTTCAGAGACACCTGTGGGATAGGTTGCTGTGCTTTAACTGGGATGTGGGTGCTGGGAGTGAGGATAACGTTTCTTCATCCCAAGAGGGAACTAGGGACTTAAGGAAAATATGCTGAGATCCTTCCAGCTCAAAACTATTTTGATCATATGGTTCAAAATTTGGCATGTAAATCATTAAAACACAGTTTAATCAATTATACGTGTTATAGATAGATAGTGTCAGATAGAGCAAGTATCATAACCAATCTGCAGACTGGTTAGGCCGCCCAGAGTTTGAAAAACTGATAGCCATGGACTACAGAGTCTTTAGACAGGATATTTGCTCTCTAGTTGGCAAGAATCCTCACTACTCTTGTCTTAAGGTGCCCAATTAATTCATTTACTTTACCTCTCTGGCTTCTGTAGACATTTGAGTTTCTTACTAGGTCAGTCCTATTTTTCTTGTTTTCCCAGGTGTGAGAGTAAAAATTCTTGGGCCTTAGGGGCTACTGGATGCTGTCTACCCTGACAGTAGGTAGATTATGGATTATTGCATCTGATTTCCATGTTGCTTTTTCTAGGATGGTTTCAAGCATATCTTTGAGATGGAAAGTGTTAGGGGTCAACTCCAGAGCATGCTCCAAGCCTCACGAGATACGGCCTATCGTGAGTAAACCCCTTCCCTATAAAGGAGAACCTAGATTTAAGGGGTGGGAAAAAGTGGAGAAAGGAAGCAGGGTGTGTGGGGGGTGGCGACCTAGACCTCGGAGATAAGAGATTTCTGGAGGAAAGGTTCCCGTTCTTTGGGAGAGGGCAGGAGGAGTGGGTGAAGTAGAAAGGAAGGACCTCTTCTTCAAGTGGTCCCTGTTCCTGTCCTTACCTGACCCTGGCTGTGGGCCTCTCTGGCTGCCCACAGAGGAGTCCGCTACTCCAGGTGCCGGCTCAGAGAGACGGGAAGAGGACTCCTTTGACAGTGACAGCACGGCCACCTTACTTAAGTGAGTTTTCCTTGGGGTTCTCCTAGCTGACTTCCTTTCTTGGAAAGCCAAGTGTTCTAGTGTTTAGTTCTCCCTTTACTGCTTTTGTATCTCTTAAGGACCTAAGATGCTTGTCACTTAGCTTTCAGTTTTCATCCTTTCTCTCCTTTCTTCTATCCCCTTTCCTCCTTTGGGAACG